GGACTCATTTTAAATTAACTGAAATGATTGTCTCATTATTATTATTATTATTATTATTTTCAAATTTTCCCTCAATGCAAACATGGTATTAGACTCAAATAACTAAGGAGTGGTATCCGTTGCTCATTTAATCAAGGACATGGTATAATAATATAGCATACATCACTCTATTAATATAATATCATGTTAGTGTTAAGTAACTTCAATTAGTAAGGGAAAATTGCGAGATATAGTTAATGAGAAATAATTTCAATTTATTTAAGAATTATAATTAGTTATATTAAAGATTCAAGTATCAAATTTTTATATAAGAGCAAAAAAAAATTATATTCTTCTCTTACTACAACCTTTCAAAAGTCATAAATGGCACTTCTTTTATGAAAAATTATTGATATTATAATTTATTATTAATATTAATATGACCATAATTTACCAAGTTTTTAGAAGAATATCTTTTTGTCAAATTAAAAAAAGTTTCATTTAATAGAAAATAAAAAATAATTACATCACCTAACTCTAATTAATATAATATTAGAGATTTGTGTGTGCTTGCATAGTGGTTAACAAAAAAATTATTTAATTAATATAATTTTATTGTGAGTTTATGGGAAAATCATCCAATATTTAGGTTTTTACGAGGATATTTTTCCTATAAGTGTCTAATTAATTTAATTAAGAATTTCCTTAATTGCTTAACAACTATGAGATGAAAGACTTTTTATGTACCAATTTATATTAATATTTTGTATAAATAAATTTAACAATAATTTTACTAATATTATCGATATGTGTTAATTTGTATATCAATATATTTACGCATATTAAAATTTATTTATTTACTATTATATGTTTATTTTATACTTAAAAATACGAAATTCTTAAACTTATTAAAAATATTGAAAAAATTTAAACTTAAGAAGAAAAAAAAATGTAATGTCAATATGTAAGAATGTATGTACTAAATCTCTCTCTCTCTCTCTCTCTCTATATATATATATATATATATATATATAAGTAATATTGGAAAACATCGCATGACATTTTTTTTTAATAATTTTTCTGAAATTAAAAATAATATATTAATATTAATTATAATTATATATTATATAAATAAAATTTTAAATATTATCTATTTAGATTTTAAAATATAGAAATAATAGTACATAAATATTAAAATATAAAGTTTAAATTAATTTAAAAAAATATAATATGTATATAAAACGGGATATAAATTTTAATTTATTTTAAAAAAATAAGTGAGTAACGCCGCCCAAGCCCACTCGATCCACAAAAACAGATTACGTCGAAGAAACATGAATGAAAAGCATAATAGATGGAAATGGGAATTCATTTAGTGATTTTTATTTAAAAAAAAAAAGGATATTTAGCAAGTAATTATAATTTAAAAGAGCAACCGCTTATGACTACTTTCCCTAAACAAGTAAATTATTACAATCAAATATTTACTTTTTCCTTAAAAAATATATTACACTTAAAAAAGAAAAGACATACACACACACACACACACATATATATATATATATATATATATATTCTCTCCATGTTTTTAACTTCTTCTTACCAAATCTCCTTAAAAAATAACAAAATATATAATTAAAAAGTATTGATTTGCTATTTATCCTCTCCATTTTTGGATAAAGAGCTCTCACTTTTAGAAAATCTCTCTCCAAAAAATCCTACAATAATTACATAAATTCCTTCAACAAACAACCTTATTAATTGAAAAAGTTTAGAATCTTTTTTTTTTTTGAAGAATATCAATAGAATAAAATTGAAATCAATATAATATATTATATATATATATATATGAGAATATCCACTCTACTAAAAATATATATTTCTTTAATTGGTAAACATTCTCCCCAAGTTTAGAGTAACGTTGGTCAATTTTAGTACCCAAATTTGTAATGAAATTATATAAATGATGTTTTTACTCTTTCAAAGTCAAGAGTATTTTCTGTCCAATTTTAAAGAGTAGAGTGGTTTAGGAAACAAAATGTAATTTGTCCAATAATTTCTGTGTTAACCTTACAGAAATCTGTATATATATGTGTGTGTGTGTGTATCTTAATGCTAATCTCTCCCCCCACCCCACTCCATCTTAAATTTGTGCATATTAATATTTTATTTCACATTCATAGGAATTGAATTCATGTCCTAAAGAATTCAATATATGGGTTGGGACAAGATTCAACATGCAAATAAGTTTCTACTTCCATATTTATATGATTAACTTTGGTAGAAATTAGGTGGGAATTAAATAAATAATTGATGATATTTTCTAAAAAAATAAGTTAAAAGTAAAAATAAAATATTAAGATAATCAATAGTTTCACCATAATTCATTAATAGCATAATAATCTAATTTTATTATAATATTTGACTTTAATTTATTAATATAATTAAATTACATTTTATTATTATAAATTATTAAAATTTTAGAAAAAAAAATATATTATGTGATTGACTTTATTTCTTTATTAATAAGTCAATACCCATAATTTATTTTCTCAATTAGTCCTGTAGTGCCTTTTTTCTATTTCAAAAAAGTACACAGTTCAGAAAAATAAAAAGAACTATTGGATTAAAAATTCATCCTAAATAATAACTGATATAGTTTAAATAACTATATCTTATATATATATATATATATATATATACATATTGCTTTAAAGGGAATGATGGTATCTTATAAGGACAGATCATACGGTAATTTCTCGCTACCTCTGCAACTGGCTGCAGTTGAAACCCTAGAGCATGGCGTAACCCTAATATTCCACAAACATCTCACGACTTGAATTAACTGAAAAAGCTAATATCCCTTTCCACAAATCTCAACCATTCATTCCCTACACACCCTTTTATCAAAAGATTAGTAATCACTCGAAAGAGAAGTGGAGTTGGAAACTACTTATCAAGTCTCAAACCTAAACCTAATCCGTCCTCGAAAACATTCAAGGCATCACCTCAGTCTCAAACCTAAACCTAATCCGTCCTCGAAAACATTCAAGGTATCACCTGCATGCATCCGATATATTTTTATCGACTCAAGGTTGTGCTGGAAATTGGTTTCCCTTATCCAAACTCTTTATACCTCCCAGTTCAATCTTGAAAGGAAGGAAACAAAGTTGACCGAAGGCAAGACCTGCAACCGCACATACTTAGGTGCAGCCATAGTCCTGGTATTCATCTAAAATAAACAGCAACATGCAAGCAAGTTATTGAATATCCATCCAAGAAGCAACCACATTGACCCCTTCATTGCATTGTTCCTGGTACTCGTGATAAATATATCCACGCATCATCCAGTATGTACAATTTATGCTTGCTATTGCTAAAGATAATCCTCAAAAGAATAAAAAACTGCATTTACAAAAAGAACATAACACAAATTCTTGTTTATGTCTTTAGCGATATCATTCTAGTCATTTGAGTACAGCAAATGAGTTGGACATGAGAAAACATGATATTGGTGCATAAAGAATGATGCAGAAAGAAGAAAAAAAATCAAAGTTTCCAAAGACAGTAACTGCCAGAAACTCCCACTTCCAGCTTAAGTGAGACACAAATTGGTCCAAAAGTAGCTGACTTCAACATGAGTTTGATGCAGATTGTAAAGAAGACAGCTCATTAGGAAAAATCGACACATTCAACAGGAGATTAATCATATATATACTCAGTCATATCCCAAAACAGATTTTTAAGGAATCTGTTCAATTAGTAAAGAAAACGACATCCTAAAAACAATGTTAAGGGATATTGACAACAGTATTATATTTAGCATTTGCTATACTGACATGACATGTAGGAAATTAGAAAAGAAGATATTTATAGAGTAGAGCACACATGACCACCCAACCCCCCTTCTTTCTGCAGAAGTCTCTTAAGAGTTAAGAGGGGAGGAAAAAAAGGGCATAAACCAAAAATAGCAAGAAATATGGGAGTTCAAAAAAGTTGACGAGAACTAGTTTCTTCAAATTCGTAACTACAATAGTGAGAATCACAAGCTTGTTCAATTCAATCATGGCATACATTGAACATGCTACATACTGCACTCTGTAGACACCTTAGTGAATAAGTATGATTTGATGAAGTTTCTTTTTTTAAAATAAAAAAATAAAAAGTATAAGATTTGACAAAGTTTCTACTAACAAACAACACAAATGGTTAAGTTGGCATCAATACAAAACATTGCAAGTCACTGTCTATTCTACTCTTATTCCTATATGATGATAGAATTTCCTACAATTTTAAACATCAAAATTTTGAAAAATGGTAAAAGATTTACTATGTGCTCATCTCTAAGTTTAAGCTCCCAGGTTGGATAAATAAGCAGTAACTTGTTTAAATAAAAATGCTTGTTATAAGAATAAGTACTTTATATTTTTGGTGAAAAGAACTAAATTTATATAGATAAGCAACCACATAATTAAAGAGATACACTTAACCAAGGGAAAAAAAAATTAAAGAAGAGCTTAAAAATGCTTAAGAACAATAAAAAACAACCCACTTGTTGAATTAGCAAACAGGTAAATAATTGAATGGGTGATTATAAGCTATTCTTAAGTAGAGCCAACCACCCTCTTAAGAATGTCCATGTCAGCTATTTTGGAGGAAAAAAAAAAGGAAATCACCATGCCCATTCACATATTTTCAAAGGATAATGGTGAATTTCCTTGAGATAATTGATTATGCTATCTTTCAACTTGAAGCACCAAATATAATATAATGTGGAAAACAGGCATCAAATTTGAGACTTTCAACCTCACCAGGGCTCTTATTGGCAAAGCTTAATTGAAAAGATAAGAACTCTTCCAGATCAAGGAAGCAGGCAGGACCTCCATTATAAAATTCTGTAAGGAATAAGGATTTTGCAAGCTAAGTACAAACTTGCTTCTCTGCCCCCCAACAATGTAGGGAAGCCTGTCAAACATTATAAGCAATTGAAAACTTAGAAATTTCTCAAATAAGGCTCTAAATTCTCGAGAGATAACATTACCATTCACACGGAACTGGAGATTAAAAAAAAACCATTGGAAATTCATCTGTTCATCCAAATTTCTGTCATGCATGTCTTACATCTGAAAATTGCCAACAAGGATAAATAAATTCTACTCTGTCCTGCGTTCCTACCCTTTTGTGCAACTCAAATGGAAAACAAAAGAGACAATATATATTTTTTTCATATTTACTTTTTTTTCCTTATGAGTGACATCTTTTCCTTTTTACAGAATCCATTTCATTATACCTAAAATTGAGGTCTCACTGCTCTAGAAGCCGCTTTCCTTTCTCTCCTAGCTACTCCAAATGTATCACCACCATATCTATCTCTGTAAAAGGCAATACAGAACTGTCAGCCACCTCGTTTTAGAACGGAAAAAAAAAAACAGAAAACAAAATCCAGCCATTTAAACGATATTGAAAAAAGAGTTAGACCTCAGTATTAGGAAACCCGAGTATAGGTGAGCAGATCTATATCTGCAAGAAGCAAGATTAGAGTTCCAGTACCAGCTCACAGGCATCAAGAGACATATGAAAATACTTCTACATAGACAGGCATGTATAGATCTCCTTCATCATCATCCATTTATCTCATCTATATTTATAGAAAGAAAGAAAGGAGGCATACCTTAACAGGAGGATCGGCAACTCTATAAGAATCAGCCGTCATTCCCACCAACCACAATCCAGGAAAAACATTCTGCAACAACAACCCAGAAAAAGAAGAGCAAGAACTTAATCAATCACAATAATGAAAATATGAAGAACACGGCTTTCCCTTGACAATTTATGGAGTACTCATCAAACAAGGAGGACGAAGATCAACTTACATCGAGCTGTTTCTGCACAATCTTGGGACGTTTCTTGGGCCTGCGGGCCGGCCTGGAACCCGTCATGATGAAGACGTCTTCCTCAATCTCGTCCCTCGAGAGCGAAATCCAAAACTTCAACTTCTCCTTTTTCCTGTCACCTCCCGCCGCGCCTGCTGATTCCGCTGCTAATCCCCTGAGTCTCATCGATTTGGGCTCCATGCTACCCGCTCTCTGCTTCCCCTCTTGAGCTCCACAGTCGCCGCCGAACATCTCCTGCAACACCCCATTTTTGGTAGAGCAAGCAGGTCCTCTTCTAGGCCTCAAATTCCAGGGCCTCTGCACGGCCCCCTCCTCTTCCTCCTCACCTTCTACGTCCTGTTCCTCCTTTACCGGTTTGTCCCCTTCCTGTTCCCCCAAAGCCGTAACCTCTTTCTGGGTGTTCTGGGTTTGGCCAGCGGGTCTAGCGGAGGAAGAAGATGGAGTAAGAGAGGAGAACGAAAAGCGGTGGACGCGGGTAGAGCGGGATCCCACTCGCGAAGTCCTGACGGCGGAGAGATGAGCGCGGTCAGAATCGGAGTCTGGGTCTGGTTCCGATTGGCGGCGTTGGGAGTTGGGCGATGAAGTAGCGGTAGCAGTTGTGGTGGAATGGGTTCCCCACTTGAGGAAGGAGAGAGAGAAGTTGTGAAGAGGCTGCGACTTCACAGGTGCGGTTGCCATTGCATTTACATACAAAACCTACACACACATCAAATATTCAATCACATATACTGATGCAGATGAAGGCTTCTATCTGGGTAACAGAGCGATGATGGTGTTTGTGATGAGTGATGAGAGAGAAACCCTAGAGAGAAAAAGAGAGGGAGGAGCAAGAGGGTGGTGAGATGAAACCAGGGGAAGCCGATGTTTTGTTAGAGAGAGAGAGAGAGAGAGAGAGGTGATGTGTATTGTGTGTGTGTAGGTGCTGCATATATTTGCAGTTTCGCACTCGCAATTCCAAAAAAAAAAAAAAAAAAAAAAAAAAAAACCGAAGGCGCAGATGGGCTGGGTTTCTTTTCTACGTATACGGGATGTGTTCTTCTTCTTTAATTTGTTTTACAGATTTTACCCTTACCTTTTTCTTTATATCCTTCTATGTCCTCGATATTCTCCCTTCCAATCATGGTCCCATTGGCAAGTGCGTTTCCCATATACTTACTTTGACTTTCATCAAATAGTCTACTTTTTATTTTTTTATTTTTTTATTTTTAAAAATTAAGAGTTTGAGAGTATTTAGATGCATAAAATAATAGAAAGGTAAGAAAAGTGCATATCCCAAAATTAATACTCTTAGGAAAATTAGGTTTTAATGTCGAAATCCAAAATTTATATCACATTTTGAATAATCTTAATCGTATTTAAAGTAATTTACAAATTTGGTCAAAATTAATACTTTGACCATAAAATCGGTCCTATATGTGATTTAATTTACATATAATTAAATAAGATTGTTAACTGAGGTAAAAATAATTTATTAACATATAATTTTGAAATGTCCAAGGTTAATAGTAAGTTATTAAGATCTTATGGCAATAATTTTAAGAACAAATTATTAAATTAGTTTCAAATTTTAATATTTATTATAATTTGATCCATAATTATTTTTTATTATAATTTGATTATAAACGTTTTCTTTTTGTTTCTGTAACACCCGAAGTATATTATTATTATTATTTTTTTTTTCAATTTATTTTATTTAGTAATTATTGGAATTTTATTTGATTTTTTATTTAATTTAATTTAATTTGATTTAATTTAATGAAAATAAAAATAATAATAATGATAAAATTGGGTAAAAATATTATTTGGATTTAATTGAAATTGATTTTGAGAAAAAGTGGTGAAAATTTGGATTCTGGAGGTGTTTTTGAAAAAAAAATCGAAAATCGGGGGGTCAAAACACAATTTAGAAAAGTTGTGCCACGTCAGCAGCCACGTCAGCGGCCCGGTCAGCAGCCCCGGCCAACCAGGACGCGCTGCGTGGCAAGAAAACGCTGACCAGGGGACGGGCCACGTAGGCGATCCGCGTGCGCGCGATCGGACGGCTCAGATCTGTTCCCGCGCGCACGGACGGCCCAGATCAAACATGCGCACGGACGATCCAGATTCACGCGCACGGACGGCCCAGGTTCAATCAGGTACGGACGGCCCAGATTTAATGTAACGGCCCCGGAAATTTAAAATAAAATATGTGTATTAAAAATGTTAAATGCGGAAGCGAAGTCAAAATTTCGATTAACATCCCTTACACTAAAACCAAAAACGTGCTCAAAATATAAAAGATCAAACTAACTAAAGGAGAAACTCGAAAGTAAAAGCTATGAATATGACTATGGAGTCTTTAGGCGTCCCCTTCGTCGTCTTCCTGCGGAACGGGCTCGGGAACAATGTCTTCCTGATCTGAAATGATTAAATAAGGAATGAGCTACACTAGCCCAGTAAAGACATCACGATATCTCACCGTCACGGAGGTAAATGTGGGTAGAAAACACAAAAAGACCAATGGAGCATAATTTACAACAAATCCTTTTATCAATAATAAAACTTTTACCATCCACTTACCTCGGTGAAATTCATAAAACAGTATACGAAAGCAATAACATTATCATCATCATGAAATCATATAAGTGCTTGGTATGTCAGCAGGTCAAAGCAGAACATCAATGCCCAGGTGGGTTACTTCAGCCTTTACCGATTCCAGAGTGGAAGTGGGAACATATCACCATGGACTTCGTATCGGGACTACCCAAGGCACGATCGGGACATGATGCTATATGGGTAATTGTTGACCGACTCACTAAGTATTCCCACTTCCTGGTCATCAGAACGACTGATTCTTTGGACAAGTTGGCAAGAATGTATATCCGGGAGATAGTCAGACTGCATGGAGTCCTAGTGACAGTGGTATCCGACAGGGACCCCAGATTCACTTCTCGGTTTTGGAATAGTTTCCAGCAAGCTATGGGAACAAAGCTATCTCTTAGTACTGCCTTCCACCCCCAAACTAATGGACAATCAGAGAGGACAATTCGTACGCTTGAGAATATGCTCCGAGCTTGTGTCCTTGACTCCGGGGGCCATTGGGACGACCATCTACCCCTGATAGAGTTTGCCTACAACAACAGCTACCAACCAAGCATCGGCATGGCCCCATATGAGGCGCTATACGGGCGTCCGTGCAGGTCACCGATTTGTTGGGAGGAAGTGGGCGATAGAAGATTGTTCGGCCCGGAGCTGGTAGAGGAGACCACGTCCAAGATAGTTAAAATCAAGAAGAACATTCAGATAGCTCAGAGTAGGCAGAAGAGTTATGCAGATACCCGGAGGAGAGACCTAAGCTTTTGAGAAAGGCGACCGGGTGTTTCTTAAGGTCACTCCTTTCAAGGGAATTAGTAGGTTCGGCAGGAGGAGAAAATTAAACCCCAGATATATTGGACCCTTTGAAATCTTAGACAAGATTGGTACCGCTGCCTACAGACTTGCACTGCCTCTTGAGCTCTCCCGGGTTCATAACGTGTTTCACGTATCTATGCTACGTAAGTACAACTCGGACCCTTCTCATGTCTTGGCTCATGAACCGCTTCCACTCTAAGAGGACTTGTCTTATGAAGAAGTACCGGTCGGTATCACGAACCGAAAGAGCAGAATACTCCGCAACCAAAAAATATTATTTGTAAAGGTCGTGTGGCATAACCACACGCCCAGGGAGGTTACTTGGGAGCTAGAATCAGAATTTAGAGCCCAGTATCCCCATTTGTTTGACCAAGAGTAAGAGGCAAATTTGGGGGACCAAATTTCTTTAAGGAGGAGAGAGTTGTAACACCCGAATAAAAATAAAGATTTTATTTATTTATTTTTATTCTTATTTATTTATTTGAATTTTTTATTTAATTTAATTTAATTTAATTCAATGAAAATAAAAATAATAATAATGATAAAATTGGGTAAAAATATTATTTGGATTTAATTGAAATTGATTTTGGGAAAAAGGGGTGAAAATTTAGATTATGGGGGTGTTTTTGAAAAGAAAATCAGAAATCGGGGGGTCAAAATGCAATTTAAAAAAAGTTGTGCCACGTCAGCACCACTTCAGCAGCCACGTCAGCGGCCCGGTCAGCAGCCCCCGGCCAACCAGAATGCGCCGCGTGGCAAGGCAATGCTGAATAGAGAACGGGCCACGTGGGCAATCCGCGTGCGCGCGATCGGACGGCCCAGATCAAACGTGCGCACGGACGGCCCAGATTCACGCGCACGGACGGCTCAGATTCAATCAGGCACGGATGGCCTAGATATAATCCCAATTAAATCGCGATCAAA